TGAACAAACCGACCCATTTGATGCTGATGCAAACACCGAGACCCAAGCCAGTCATGACGAGCCAGAACCACCAACTAATATCGAAGGCCTTTGAGGGGCCCTGTTCGTGCTGGTTTGAAAAGGAGGTCCAGGCCAGAGCCGTGAAGCCGACGGCGATCATGAGTGGGGAGTCGAGAAGGATCAGGCGAGCTTGGGTCAGAAGACCGTTCTCTGTGAACTCGAAATATTAGCAAGAATGAGAGCCAATAGACTGTGGAAGACAACCAACTTACCGAAAATGATTAAGCATGCGCCCATAACAGCAGTGGAAGTGCGGCATCCAATAGCCTTAAGAGTCAGGAAGGTTGTGGGTACCAAGAATATTCCACAGAGGGCGGGGAACAGTCGCATGGCGACGTAGGGAACGCCTGGCTCGATGTAATCCTTGCCGATCTCTTTGAAGTCGAAGCCGCCATCGAAACCAGCAAGCCAGCCGGCAAGAGCAATCAGCATCTTGGCCAGAGGAGGGTGAACGTCCATGAAGAATTTGCCATTGATGTACTTGGAAGCGAAGCCGCCGAAGCTGTGATGAGAGTGATATTGTCAGCTGTGTCCAATGATTGCTGGGGCCAAAAGCTTACTGGACCTCGTCGAATACAACGCTGGTGGGCTGGTATATGCGGAAGACTCGTACGAGGGCGCCGAGGATGGTGACGAGGAACATGATGTTATAGTCGGATATAGGGAGCAGGAAGACATCGTTGTCGACTACACCCTCGGAGGTGTAGTCCTTGTGGGAGGGCATGACCTGGGTTTTGGAGTTGAGAGCAGTCTTGGAGGGAGATCGCTTAGGGGATTTTGGTTTGGCCATGGTGAGGAGTAGGATCTGTCGTGGCCAGATTCGAGTCGAGAGTAAAGGAGTGAAGAGGTTTTGGTGGCCTCTCAACACTCCTGACTGGTTATAGTAGTGTCGTACCGCTGACAAGAGGCACAGATAAGAATAAGGGCAGGTGGGACAAGACGTCGCGACACAAGACGACACGAAGGGAAATTGGGATTGTATTTAACGAGAGTCGAGAAGTAGTGTAGTGTAGGTGAAGGGAGCTTCAAAGTGACATTAAAAAGAAATCAAAGCTTAAGAATAAGAAGTAGAATCAGATGCTTCTTCCTAGAATAGAAGAGAAAGAGCAAACAAACGAGGTGCAATGGGATTGAATGACACCTCGAATGCTTCAAAAGAAGATGATGATGGCGGCGGTGGGATAAGGGGGCATGGATGATTGACGCGGATGCTTCTTCACAAGCAATAAATTCTTAAGAATTCAGCTCCTATTCTAGGATACACCTGGCCTTATCCGTGTTGGTGGATGGAAGGTGGGGATCCCTTTTTCTGCAGGGGTTGGTTTTCCTTCAGCTGCTGATGGCGGTTATTGGCCCCCAATGCGAAGGACTGGTGAAACAAATTCGATGATTGGCTGGTTGACGCCGTGGCAGGGATAGCAGACGTCACCTTTTCTTGACAACTGTCTAAACATCAGAAGCAGCTGGCTGTCAGATTGGCCAATTCGAATATGCGAAGTAGAATTACACTTTCCTGGAGGTATCATAGCTTTTGTTTCGGTCCGGATGCAAGTGCATATAGATTGTTATCCATAATTGTGTCTACCTAGGTAGTTCTTTGGATGCCAGTGGTGCCAAGATAATAGTATTCAATAGGATGACAATGGGGAGTAGACCGTGCAAAATGATAGTCTTCTTTTCCCGCACTGTATTAACATCAGGCAGAGCTAGCTGGCGGCAAGAGTTGCTTGGATCCAAACATGGCGCTAGGCCAGATCAGTATAATAAACTCCATCTGCAATGAATCCTGCACGTCTAATAATTTCACCACCAACCGCATCGCGACAATCATCATCACCACCATTACTGTATTCCATCGCCCGAACTACATCGCCAAGGGAGAGCTTACAATCACCGAAAACATGGCCGCTCCAACTAACGGTGATGCAGCTGCCGTATTGGACGAGATCCAGCCTCCCCAGGGTGTAGTCAAACCACCCAGGGAGTTCAGAGGTACATTTCCCAATATCCCCCCAATATCCCATTGCTCCCCCGTCTTTGTCGCAACTAACTAATCCCTCTTTTCACGCAGCCATCCTTGAAAAGACTGCTGGCTTCGTCGCTAGAAATGGTCTGCCATTCGAAGAACGCCTACGCGAGAAAGAGAGAAGCAATCCCAAGTTCAGCTTCCTCGACCCCAACGATCCCTACAATCCCTTTTACTTATGGAGATTGTCCGAGATCAAGGAAGGCCGCGGCACCGTAGTCGCCGCCGGCAGGGCTGGTGAGCCTGTTGCCCCGGTTGATGACAAGCCGAAGGGGCCTCCCGAGCCGCCGAGCTTCCAGTTTTCTGCCCGTATGCCAAACATCAGCGCTCAAGATCTCGAGGTCGTAAGGCTGACTGCCCTGTTTGTCGCCAAGAATGGTCGCCAGTTTATGACGTCTCTATCGCAACGTGAGACCGGAAACTATCAGTTCGATTTCCTCAGGCCCAATCACAGCCTCCACAATTTCTTCCAACATCTCATCGATCAGTACTCAATACTACTGCGCGCCGGCGGCATCGATGGTGAAGGCGGTCGCGTCCAGCAAGAGCGCGTCGCCGAGCTCCAGAGAAATGTCGACGACAAATTTCACATCCTGAGTCGGGCCAGGAATCGCGCCGAATGGTTGAAATACCAAGAGAACGAGAAAGAAAAGAAGGGAGAGGAGGAAGAGAAAGAACGACTGTCATATGCCCAAATCGACTGGCACGACTTCGTCGTTGTCGAGACTGTCGTTTTTACAGATGCAGACGATCAGTCGAATCTACCACCTCCTACTTCCTTGTCTGAGCTGCAATACGCCTCGCTCGAGCAAAAAGCCAAGGTTTCTGTTAGTGCCAATCTGCGCATCGAGGAGGCCATGCCTACAGACGAAGACAATGCGTATAACGACTATGGAGCACAACAGAACTTCAATATCCCACATCATCCTGCCTACCTCGCTCAACAACAACCGACACCACAATCCTTTCAGCCAACACCACCTCCACAGACCGCTTACCAGATGGCTCCTCCGCCTAGGCCCAACGGAACTTCAGAAGACGAAGATGCTCAGAGGATACGAGAGAGGGAAGAGGCGCGCCAGCGAATGCAGCAGGCACAAGCTGGTGCGAAGGGTGGCGCTGCACCCATGAAAATTAAGGAGAACTACGTTCCCCGTGCAGCCGCCAAGGCAGCGACCAAGCAGGGCACACAGATGGCGCTCTGCCCTAATTGTAAGCAGCAGATCCCAATGAACGAGCTTGAGGCGCATATGCGGATCGAGCTGCTTGACCCCTCTTGGAAGGAACAAAAGGCAAAGGCCGAATCGCGTTATGCCACTACAAACCTATCAGACGCCGATGTTGCGAACAATCTCAAACGCCTTGCCAGCCAGCGTGCGGATATCTTTGACCCGGTTACTGGTCACCCAGTCACAGAAGAAGAGATGGCGCGCCGGAAACGCGCGGCAATGAACAGTTTTGACGGGAATCTCGATGGCCGAAACCAAGCGCATATGAACCAAATGCAGAGCGTCAATGTCGACGAACAGATTGCTAGAATTCACCAGAAGTTCGCAGCAAAAGATAGCCAGCCAAGTCGTTGAATAGGCAAGGTTTCACAACAGATACATTCCAAAACATGGAGGGCAGCAACAGGGGATCCAGATGGCATGAGGAGTCTGATGCCGACCTTTCATCGAAACTCACTCCGTGTCCAGCAACATAATATTCTTGTATGAGTAATGGGGATCCGTGAATGGCGATGACCGATTGGTTATATCCATGGGTATGAGGCTGCACAAGGTAAAAAGCACCCATGGTCTGTCTAGGTCTTTTCATATGGAAGCTCATTCTATCATATAGCTCGCGTCCGCTCGAGGGCCCTCATGTCCAAGTTCTTGTGTCGGGGTGACGCAGTTGCGAAGTGCAAGAGGTATCTCTCTTGGGAAGCAACCCGTGCACAGGTACCCATATATGTAGAATGGAATTGCCTTCTAAACAGCTGATAATGTGACAGCCTTACATGCTAACCTCATATGAAGATGTCGGCCTAACCACCAGAAGCAAAGTCTATGTGCACGAGGCAGATATCCCAGTCATGGCCCCGGCGATCTTGATATTAACATGCTCGTTGAAGGTTTTCTATCTGGAGGACCCCACTTCATCGGTAATTTCATTATAAAACGCCATAGAACAATCCAAGCACAACCTCTACATTGAGAATCGTATAAGTATGCCTTCTTCTGATCAATAGAAAGCGCATGTAATCCGGAATGAACACTCACTGAATACTATCTAACGAGGGTGTGATTGCCTCTTATAATTTACTTTTCTAAGACTTAGATTCTTCATCTTCTTGTACCCTTACATGGGAGTGTTTATCTTAGAGAAGATATGTTATACCACCAGTATTGTACTTCCTTAAAACCCTTTAATGAGATGCGAGCAGATTCCCTGTGCTTCTAGCCCCATATGAAGCACTTTCATCAACATCAGCAACACTTGAGACTACGGCGGTGGCCCAAGTCGACAATGGGAGGCGGTCCGAGTGTAGCCGGCTACCCTATACTTAGAGCACCAGGGATTATATAGTGCCGAAGACGCTATAAACATGGTTCAATATATGACTGGGAGCAGACTAGCTAAGCAAAAATACTAGCACACATAGCAGATAAAGATAGCTATTTTCCTGTTAAATAGACTTGTCTCGTTATTCCTCACTTGACTCCGTTCTAATCGGTTCTAGTGCCGCGATTCAAGCTTGCATAGAGTGAGAGGGGAGAGCAACTCGGAGGATAGTAGGTAGATGTGGGAGTGCCCTTATCTAATCACAATGCTGACCAAGCCGAAATTTACATAAGCCGCCATCCCGTCCCAAGCATATAAGTCAAGAATACAAAACACCACCAAAAAAAAATTAAAAAAAAATTTTATTTGTCCAGTGTGAGACTCGAACTCACGACCTTCGGATCACTCAGTCTTTGACTGAATCATATTGGAAATATGAGACCGATATTCTGACCAAACTAAACTAACTAGACGCTGTTGAATTTGCACTGGTCTTATTGCCATACTTGTACCCCTCCACAATGAGCACCAAGTTAGCCGACGGGGCCGTGTGGCATGAGTAGGTAGGTAGCCACTATATTTCAATGGAAAAATCACACAAACACACATAGTAAAACCAGCATTCTCAAAGGGTTTTGTACCCTACCTAAAAGTAGGCCGTACCTAGGTGGCTGTAAGGGTATTTCTGATCAGTTCAAGAATTCTGATGGAAGCTACCTACCTACATAACCTACATTGCTGTACCTGGTGGATTTCGGTCACAAAATGACCCCATTCCCCGCAAACAGTGACTGAAATCATGGACGATATGGACATCACCCACCATGGACGGAGGAAATACTGGTTTTTTCCAGCAAACAGTCACATCAAGAAGAAATGTCACGATATTTGCCAATCGTCATATGTTATTTTATCTACTGCTTCAACATCCAAGTATGGACATGAGAAAAACATGATAGAATAGGCAGGCACCTATGCAGCGCTCCTATATACCAGAAAACATCCAAAACGCCTTACAGCGACGTCTTCCCGTCGCGGGATATCCCATCCATCCCACTATCTTTTTGATGTAAGTCCACTGCAAATGCTATGTCATGAAGTTATAAAAAATCAGAAAATCCCCACCGTCGTAAATGCAATAGCAAAGTAAGGATAAATAGGTTCATCAACATGATCCGTTCAACTCATATAACAGGAATCCAAGACCCTTGGCTTCTGGCTTCCCGATCCAACTTCAACTTCAATCTCTCTTCTTCCTCAGCCTCTTTTTGCTGTCGCTCGACAAGCTCCAGCGCCTCAGCGAGTTTGACTTGCTGCTCCTTCTCCTCTTCCTCCTTCATCTCCCTCTCCTCCTGCGCCTTCTTCAAAGCCTGCTCCTCGAGAAACTGCGCATACCGGGACTTCTTATTATGGATCCCGCACTCCGTCTTATCCTGTCCTTTCCACCGTCCGGCTCTCTCGTCCTCGCCGGCGGCGACGGGGGAGGTGGAATGCCAGTCCCCAACGGACTTGTACCCCCTGTCGAGGAGAACGTTGTAGGGCACGTCGTTGTCCGTGATGTAGGCTTTCACTTGCGCAAAACTCCAGTCCGCAAGCGGGTTGATCTTGACGATCCCCCTCTCCTCATCGACCTCGATAATCGGCATCTTATCCCTTGCACCCCCCTGGCTTCTCCTGCGGCCCGTGAACACCGCCGCGACATTCAAGTCAGCGTACGCGCGCTGCTGCGGCTCGACCTTGGCGACCCAGTCGTAGAGCTCGCCGGCGGAATCATACAACCCGCTCCCGTACGTGTCCTCGAAATCCTGTACGGTGTCGCACCCATCCGGCTTGAAGACGTGCAACTTAATTTCCGGATACCGCCCCGAGACACGCTCGACGAGCTCGTAGGTCTCGGCGAAGTGGTACAGCGTGTCGAGGAAGATGGTGTCGACGCTCGGCAAGTTGGGGTCTGAGGCTCTTAACTTGGCGAGCATGTCCACGGTCACTAGACCCGTGAGGCCGAATGCCGTGGTCTGGAATAACGAGGGGAAGAGTAGCGTGCTGAATCTGATCCTTTCCAAGGGTGTCATGCGCTCCATTTGGTCGTTGAGGTGTCTGAGGTGTGGCTGGGTGAGCATGATTTGGGGTAGAGATGCTGATGAGCTGGATGTTGAGCTCATTGCTGAGGCGTAGCCGGATTCTAGGTCGTCGGGTGTTTTGGCTTGACTTCCTCGGCGGCGAGGGGAGGAGGAGCCGGATGTGTAGGATGAGGCGTCCATTTTGTTTTGTCTTGGTGTGTGATTATGGTGATAGTTAAAGGGAATAGACGTGAGGTGAGGTGAGGTGGGAGTGGCCTCTTGGCGTCGATTTACGCCGAACTTTGGAAGTATGAAACAGTCCTCTTGCTTTCTATATCCAGGGGAGTATGTCCAGGTAAGTTCAGGCCGAAGATGGTGCAATATGGCCCAAGCAAGGAAGGCAATAGGATGATACAAGCTTGGGTGGGCGAGAGAGAATCTTCAGGTAAATTGTATAAAATCAATGACGTGAGAGTGTATGATGTCAAGTATACTTTTCGTCCTAAGATATATGAGACTTTGTCAAGGCTGTTTTGTATGATGTAGACTATACAGATAGAAGGGAATAGAGTGTGTCAAGGGGTAATGGCTGGGGAGTCCATATATTTGTTTGGTATCTGCCACCCTCCTAGACTCTTCTACCCAACCTTGGTTTGTAAGACAATATCACAGAATTTCGACTGACTAATTCCCACCAGGCATAAGGACTCCCCCGTACGAAAGTATATTAGTCCTTGTTTTCTCTCTCGGGGGTACCCAATAAAAGAACCGCCGTATCCATAATACATCTGCTACATTGTAGTATATGATGGGGGGTCGAGCCACTAAAAGATCTCATCGACGCTGTTGAAAAATCGTAGGTACATATATTTCCCCGGTAAACCTGGCGAGCCTGGCTCTGGTGCAGTGTAGGAATGGGGGTTGAAATTTTAGAAGAAGATCACGACATCTGCGCTAGCCGGCGAGCGAGCCCGGCCGCGGAGCCCGCCGTGCTGATTGGCCAGCCCGTCCGGATTAGGTATATACATAGTTCCAGGCACGACTGTCGTCTTGGTGCGTGAGCGGCAATGGCGACATCTGTTGCGGCCGCGATGTACCGCCCAGCCGACATCCATGCCCTTCCCGTACCTGTGAGAAACGGTAAGAAAAGCTACATACAGCATGTACAGTACTTCTGCGTTTTCTTTTGTAGGAATTGGCTTGTTCCCGTAGTCCACTTTTCTTCCACATGTGAGGTTCTGCCTTTACAATAAGGTTTGCCACCCATGCTACGCATTATTAATAGACGAGCACGCAATCGCATGTATCTTTAAGGATGTAAATGTCCGCTCTACTTCACGATCGAGGGTGCGAATCACTATCAGAATGGTCACCCGCTACGAAGATGTGCTTGTCGCCGATCGAAGTGATGTAATGGAATCGTGCTTGCCCCTGTTTTCTACAAGGGGAGCCTCATCGGTGAAGATCTCTAGTGAAAGGTTCTTTTCCTCGTCAATACAACGTCATATGATTCCATACACTTACAAGATCACGAAATTCCTTGGCCAGCGTCTAAGCGAGAATGACTTCAACACTATACTATCCTAGGATATGACACAACACGACTTATGGATGGTGTTTTGAGCACGCGAGCAACTCGGAAGCCTGATCTTAAGCCGTCCTATTACCTGCTTTATCCACTCTCAATAGCGACTTACTCATAGTCTGGCCGTAGGGAAGGTACAACAGAGGCCGGCAATCCGTCATGATTTGTCTAGAAGTGATCAAGTCGTCCGTAGAGCCGAGTGTATATGATCTCATCATGCCATAGAAGTCTGATAAGCCTGTTGCCTCAGATGTCCGACAACTGTCTGGGCGCATGATGCCCACATGTCGTTACGTATTTAGATGAAGTCTCGTTCCGTAAATACGCGGCTATAGCACACCAGTCGGCTCTCCGTGAGCCTCTTCCTCTCGCAGCAGAGCTGTACTCTTGTATCCCAGGTACAACCAAAGGACAGAAGCCACTGGCACGCCCGCTACAGAGGCGAGATCCGTCCGTCACTTCCCAGCTTACCCAACCAACAGCGACGACACCGAGTCGACCGGATCAGTAGGCCGTTGCACTGGGAAATCAGGGCAGTCGGGTGGGCCAATGTCGCCATCGACACAATGGATGGCGCGTAGCGCGTCGAAAATAGCAAGGGGAAAAATTGCACGAGAGAAGGAAAAATAGAGTTGCCGGTTGTCGGATTCGGTAGTCGAGATAAAAACCAAAGAGGCTCAGAAGACGTCAAAATGTCGATGGAAGATGCAACCAATCAGCGGGTATCGGGGGCAGATTGCGTGTGAGAGCAAAGCCGTCCGATTGCCGTTGAGCCCCCGGGTGGAGACGCCCTACCCTGCAACGTGCAGGCACGACAGAGCAGGCAGACTTGGCAGATTAGACCTGCGTTGAGATCGTCGCCTCCTAGAACACGTTCGACATATGCATCATTAGGTATACTCTAGAATGCAGGCACGCAACAAAGCTTGCTGCCGACCGGTTTGCGGTTCCGACCGACGGGAGCCCAAGTTGCATAGCACCGCCACTGTGGCTCCTCTATCATCAGGGCTCCAGCTCTCTTGTGCCCTAAATGAATGTGTATATGGCATTCTAGTCTTCGGGATGACCTCATTCTAGAGTGTGTGAATAGTTGCTTGTTCAAGCTCAGGTAGCATTCCATGTCTCATTACGACTTTCAAATATGCCGTTTAAGTGCTTAACATGAAGATGAAACACCAGCAAATACATATTGTATAATATCAGCAGTAAACTTATCCGGGCAACTACTGGACCTGAGTAGTTCTAAACTTATCTTACTCCCATAGAGTATTCATGCATTGAACCAACAAAAGTCTACATTGTGGCATACAGAACATGACCGATCTTGCTTCCAGTTTGACAAGACTTTATTTCTATCCCCAGGATCCGGTCCGGCCTAGGCCGAAACAGCTGCCCGAGTTAGCTATGGTAAACTCCGAGAAAGTTCTCGGCCGGGTGGGGCCACCGGTCGTGCATACGCCCAAGCGGCCGCCTCAATTCGCTCGTTCACGTGGGGAGGTTCCGTCACCAATCAAAAATCACCAAACATTCCAGCCTCAGGGGACCCTCCATTCTCACCGTCGCAATCTGCATAAGGCTGATGACGTTGGGCTTTCATATTGTCTTGTTCGAAAAAGAATCGTTCCTTATCTAAATCTCCTATCATTTGTTATTAGTATCGGTATCAGTCATCTGAGAAAATCATCATCCCTAGTATCGGGAGAAGAAGCCATTCAGTTGAAAATGGACGACACAAAGACCACCAGACCGGCGCCAACAGGCTCAGGTCGGCCCCAACTCACGATGCGCAGCAGCTCATACCTACAGGACCACCAGCAATACCGACCTC